TAACTTCCCAACATACCAACTGCAAATGCATTTACCATGAAGTGTCAAAAGTTCAGCTAGAGCTGACCCATGCATCATTTAGCCAGGACCCGTTTGTCAGTAACCTGACTAAGCCTTTGAAAGATCAATTTGATAAATATTGGAATGATTGCTTCCTGGTTTTGGCAGTTGCTGTAGTTATGGATCCAAGATTTAAAATGAAGCTTATTGAGTTCAGCTTCTCAAAGATATATGGCGAGGATGCTGGGATGTGGATCAAGATCATTGATGATAATGTTCATGAACTGTTTTACGAATACAGCACTCCGGCACTTCCTCCGCCAGAAACTTTTGTGGGAGGAGGGAATGAGATCGTCCCCAAAACAGAGACACTTGAAGGAGCTTCTCAAGAAAGCCATAACATAGACGTATCCTCTCAGGATGTGACTCTTATATCTGTCGGCGATGGGCTTTCGGATTTTGAGGTTTATATTTCCGAGATTACTAGCACTCAGCAGATGAAGTCAGAATTAGATCAGTATCTTGAGGAGTCTCTTTTGCCCCGGGCTCAAGAGTTTGATATTCTGGGTTGGTGGAAATTGAACAGGATCAAGTACCCAATTCTCTCAAGGATGGCTTCGGATATTTTGTCTATACCATTTTCTACGCTTGCTCCTGATTCTCTGTTCGACACCAAAAACAAGATGATGGATAGCTACCGGGGTTCATTGCGACCAGTGACACTCGAAGCTCTAATTTGCGCCAAGGACTGGTTCCAGTATGCGTCATCAACTTCACAGGTCCAAAGTGAGACACTGAAACCGGATTTTAAAGTATAGGTTTAGTTATTTTCTTGTAGGATTGGTTTTTAGCCTCTATAATTTTTTAGATATTGTAATTTTTTTTTCTTACAGTTCTGGAGATGCCTGGGATTTTTGTTTTCTGAATTCAAAAGATATTTGTTGAGCTAGTACTGCCATTAGTCTTGAAGACAGGATCTGAACTACTATGCTGGATATTAGTTATCCTCCATATATAAACCTCACAGATGATAATTTAGTGAATAACAATGCTTGTTCCTTGTAATTACTTTCCTACCTTAGTAAATTATCTAGTTACCTTTCAAAAAAATTAATAAATTTAATGAAAAATTTAATGCTTAAACCACAAAAAGTAATATTTTTTTAGAAGATTACTTTCTAAGATAAATTAAATATTTTGTACAACTTACTTTAGCTTTTTTTTTTTTTTTTTTTTATACTATAATGAGAATTTGAGCAATTATATTTGTGGTAAATATTAAATTTTTACGGTAAAATTTGATGTCTGTCACTACAAACATGAGACAAGAAAATCTCTTGTTCCCTTAAAATAACAGAAAAAATATGATTTGTTTCCAAAAGTGGAAGATAATTTTTTTCAATATTTGAAAAATTATTTAGTTATATTTATAATTATAAGCATCTTTATCTTCCTATTATCTTTTATAATGTTCATTTTTTGTGTTACAATTTGTTAGGCAACTTAACAACCACAACAATATGTTGAATTTAAAAATATAACGTATAACATTAATAATTATTATAATCTCCATATATATACAATACATGCTTAATATATTATTTTCTTCAATTATATACTAATTTTATTAGTACCTATCTATAACATGCATACTAATTTAATTTTTGTTATAAAGATTATGAGTTTGAACAGCTTTTTAACATTATAAGTATATTATAAACTTATATAATTATCAATATATTATGTTTGCTATATTAAAATTAAAAATTTATTTTATTAAGGTATCAGTAGTGTTATAATGATCAAATTGAGTTTAATTTCAGCAAATTTATTATATTTTTGAATAAAAAATTATTCCAATACAATTAAGTACTTAATTTTAATTTTAAA